CGTCCGTGAATCCATTTTCAGCCCGGAAAAGCAGTGTTTTGTGTCTGTGGTGCGTGAATCTGAATTGTGTAATTGTAATGGATGTCCTTCGTTAAGATTAAATGTTAAATTTTCAATGCTCCGCGGGGCTGGTTAACCCCCCCACCCCCCACTGACTCCATGGCGGCTACGTGATTTTTTATAAAGTGCCTCTGCAAATACAAAATAAGAGTAAAGCAAATATGAAAGGAGAAACGCGTGCCACATCCGTCAATGGCCATCAGGATTTTTCCCCTGCCGTTTTTATTTTCGTGTTGGCTTTTGTTTTTGTCCTTGTGTTATTCTTTCCCAGCGGTTTTTGTCCCTTTTTCGCCATATGCCGCAACTGAATTTGGCCCGATTTTGATTTTTATTGCCATTCGCCCTTTTTGTTGCTCCCCTCTGAAGCGTTTGCATAAATAATTGAATGCGCCTAGAGGTGCAATAAAAACCCGTGCGACCCATTGAAATATTGACCCAGCTGAACCCACAGAAGGACCTGCCACGAGTCCTTTGGTTGAGTTGGCCAAGCAGGCATTCATCATTGAAATAACAGCGGATGGTTTTATATTTTTAATGAAATATAAAACTCGACGGTCCGCAAAGGAGGGAGCCATCTATTAAAACGTTTTAAAAAAACACATATGAAAGTTGAATTGTCAAGTTTTTTATTGTTGTCTATAAACTGGAACGTAAATCACTTAAATTGATAAGAGAAAATAATATCATAAATAATAATGACTAACGATGGCAATCATGGTTATAAAACATATAATACCTGCAATGAAAAAACAAAAAAACCAATCCAAACAATTGAATAATATAAAAACCATTTTAAGCTTTTAAAAAACAGTAAAACTTTAAGGATATACCAGGGAAAAAAAGGTGAAATGCATTTAATATGTACCTGTGTAAAATATAACAATATCATTGTATGCGCTGGATTCAATCGATTTGTAAAAATCCTGCTGGCTTTTAAAAAACTATTTGCCAACTCACAAAACGGTGACACCGATTTCACACAAGGTCTATTTCAATCTCCCAAAAAAATCACACTTTAAAGGCATTTGAGGGGAAAAAAAAGGAAAACGAACCAAAAGTGTAACCAAAATATTTCAGCCACATATTTCTTGGCTGGCTCACGTCGCCAGGTTGCAGGACTCGGATCCTGGGCTCCTGGCCGTGCTGGTGTGGGTCCGTGTCCTTTTTGGCTCGTTGGTTGGTTGACCTCCAGGCACCACTAATTGCTGCAATTTTTCAAGCTCCACAGAGCGTCGCCGGCCCTTAGTTGGCTGCCAGAAAAAAGTATTTTTGCTTTGCATTTCTTTCTCTTTTTTGGCTTTGCCAATTTCCATGGAAATGCAACTGTGAGTTTTTGATATTTATCAACCTAAAAAATAAAAAACCACTTGGGATGAGAAGACGGCGGAGGAAACTGCGAAATTTCTGTGGTCGTCCTCGAAAAGTCCTTGACATGTTGGCCCCATCTAATGAAGAATGATTGCCAACGGTTCGCCTCCTGGGATTTTACTCATTTTTCAGTTCCCGCTGGATTTTCGCCATGACTAATGATGACCAAACAATGAGCCATTTAAAGATGGCAAACAAATATTGTCCCCGCATAAAAAATCAATTATTGAGCAAATTGCTTTTTAATTAATAGCAAATATTGCCTAATGAATGCGGCAATTGTATAAGCGAGATTAAAATGAAAATATTTGCAGACACAAAACCGAGAAAAGCTTAAAGAAAATATTTGCAGAGTATTTCACAATGTTTGTTTTCTTTCCTTTTTATTTAAATAATGTTTTAATAGGTTGTATAGCATATGAAATGAACGAGTAACATACGAAAAAGTGCAATCAAGAGATATAAACGGGCATTTGTGAAAGTGAAGTGCGAAGCCGAAATGCACCAAAGCAAACGCTCCAGCGAATTGTGCAATCAATACCAGTACCAAAACCCAAACCGAAACCGAAACCAAAACCAAAGTCAAGGATCCAGCGGAGTCGCCCGTCGTCCGACGATGGGCCGGAACAAAGGAGCCTCCGCCGGAGCGGGAGCAGTCAGCTGTGGCCTGTTGATGCTCCTGCTGCTCCTCCAGCTGGTGGGTGAGCGCCTGGCGACGCCATCGCCCTCCTCCATGCAGGCGCCACAGAAACGAGGTAAGTGCTGCGATGTACACGAAAAATAAATAGGGGCCTATTCCTGAAGAATTCGCGTTTTTTCTTTTTCAATGTTTTCCTGCTTTACAACACTACAATAATAGTTAATAATTTTTAAGTGCTTCATAACATTTAAATTTGTTTGAATACAATTAGGAGGCTGTTCCTGAAGAATTCGCGTTTTTTTTTTAATATTTCCAAATTTTATTTTAATATTCTGGCACCCACTAAGATTATTATTTGTTTAAGCCTTTCACAACATTACAATTTGTTATAGTAATCTAATATCATTCTAGCCATAGAAGTATTAATTATTGTATCATTCTTATAATTTATTCAAAGTGAATACAAAGCGCTGCAATGATTTATGTTGAACAGCCATTTGTATCCCACTCAGATGACTACTTGTCTATTAATATTGTATGTTTATTTATGTTAGAATGAAAAAGTAATCTAATGGAATACGGTTTTAAGGAACATAAACTATTTTGTATTTAAAGTTTAATGATTAAAGAGCTGACTTAGACTTCTTTTAGCAATATGTTTTATATTTTTAACAAAACTTGGTACAACGTTATAGTATACTTTTTCTAGTTATTGCATAATCTTTTTTCTCTATTTTAAATTCTCGAACTTCTTTCTACTACATCAAAGCCCTTGTGATTATAAATATTTTAAGTACTTAGTACCAACCTTTTATAGGCCCGTTTCTTTTCATTTTATGTCATTTTTTTCGGTGCAACCACTGTCGTATGAAATGGCAAATAAATGTCAAATAACATAGCTCTAACCCCCTTCCCCTTCCCGTTCTCATATGGCTTGTGTGTTTGCTGTGTTGCGGGTAAATACTCGTAGGCAGGACAAAAGGCGCACCACGTTGCGTATACGCTACGTTGCCATGGCACCGCGCTGCCATTGTTGCTCTAGCCGGAGCACTAGTCCTCATACCGACGACTGAGGCTGTGGCAGTATTTTATTAACATTACATTGCTTTCAACTCGGCCTGACATAATAGAAAATTGAATTGCCACGATGGGCGTGGTGGAACGGAGTTGGATGACTCTGAAGAGGGGGAGGACATTTGAACCCAGGGCCATCACAACTCAAAAGGAACCAACCCAAGGCTAACCGCCGCCTTCAACCCCCGGCAGCTCTGCAAGTGATGCAATTAAGTGAACAGCTCTGAAGGATGCAAAACATAATTGAAGCCAGAGTGCCATGAGGTCCTGGCATGCGATAATGATGAGAGATGATGGGCCATCGGAATGCTGAGTGGCTGCCGGTGGATAAATCGATTCGGAGCCAGAACAGAGCTTTAGTGTTTTCTATGTGAAGATAGTTTATTGTTTAATGTATTTTTACATATTTAGGTGGAGTGATAATCCTTTGGACTAATTCCCTAATTAAATTGTGGAAGTTTATTGTACATCACAGAAATGAAACACTTCCCAGAATTATCCATTATTTTCTATTATGAAGATGGTTTAGATGTTAATAAATTTTTCAAAGAATTGTATTCTGGAACCTATCCAAGCAATCCTTTAAACTACTTCCTTAATTTATTATGGATAATATCTAAAAGTTCAGAAATGATTACAATTTTAATATACTCCCCATCAAACGCCGCCACAAGGGAAGCCGTAGAATGTAAATTCGAAGTAGAATTCTTGGAAAATATCCATCAGGCTGGATTTTCTCTCGGCCAGCAGCCAGCTTTTCCCAGCCTCCATTGCTTTTCCTGTTTTGTCTTGTGAACTTTATTTTCGCGCTGCTCCATTGGCTGCTACGATACTTGGACCACATTTGCCTCCATCCCGCTCCTGGTTTCCATCCTGCTCCCCGAACTTTTGCTTTCATTTGACGCTGGGGAACAATATTGTACCGAGTCGGGTGTCCTTTATTCATTCTTCTTGCGCTGCCAGATGCCGCGTCTCGAGAGCTCCCACAACATGCTTCATTTTATTATGCAACAACCGAAGGAAAAAAAGCGGAAAACTTGCTACTTTATAGGGCAATGGCAATATATATAGTATATATATCTACCCATAGCACGGGAATAGAAAAAAAACAAGAACAGGAGCGGGAGCGGGAAAAAAACTTGACGCGACATTGTCGTAAATAAGAGGCAAAAACTTTGGCTTTGTTTTCGCCAAGGACCAAGGAGCCAGGATCCAGGGCCAGGGAAGAGAGAATAGAGAAAGCGCCGGGAGAAAGTTGTGAATGAATATGATAAGTTTCCGCCACGACTGGTGTATTGGCCATGTGTGGACAGCCGTCATAAATTTCCAGTGCTAATCCAATGCGGGGCCACACTTTATATAGGTGAAGTGAACTTTATGGATACTTGAACCAGCCCCCCGGACGGAGAAAGTTTTATGATTTGTGAAGCGTGAAATATGCAACAAATTGAGGGGAAGGAAAGCCACAAGGAAAAGCTGAGAAGGAAACAATTCTGCCACTTTCTTAATTTAATGCTTTGATTGCGTACTTTTAATAAAGCAGCTCAGAAGTAGGTTACGACCTCACAACCAATAAAGAAAAAGAAAATACGGTGAAATACCTAGAAATACCTACCCTCCTATGATATTCACATGTGAAATAGATTTCGGAATGTATTTTCACAACAAAGAGCTTGCCTTTATTGCTAAATTAACATTGTTGTTTTTGAGAAATATGTAGCAGTACCTATAACCTTAAAATAATAAATTAAAATTTAATATTAAGAAATGGCAATTCTTTGATTGAATGTTTTCGAAAATTGTTTAATATGATCTGTATTATCATAATATCTTATAAGTTTCGTATAAGTTAGTTCAGGAATACATTTATTACACAATGATCATACTGAGTAGCGAATAAACCGAAAGTTAAACCACTCGCCTGACTTCAAAGAAATGCTTCAGGTAGTACACCTCCAAGATGGTCATGATAATCAGCAGCATGGGTCCAAATATTGACCATGCCAAGACCCTCAGCTCCACCATATCGCTGACTTCCAAGTGACCGCGATAGCGAAAGTGCATGTACTCCTGTTCCATCTTGACGGCCCCCAGTTTGGAGGACAATTCGTTGATCATGGTTTGTACCGTAGCCTGCTCGATGACATCGTCCCACCGATTCGAGGTATCCTGGTAGTACTCCAAGGCCCTGGCTATATGGAACTGGAACATCAGGATTTTTGGGGTCAGTGTGGACATCTTGTTGTCGAAGCACAGTTGGTAGGGTCCATCTTTCATGGCCGTGAAGGTGAAACTACCCTGGGTGTCCTGTTCCGAGTGGTGGAGGGGATCATCTCCTGGTCCCGAGATCTCCACCCCCACATCCTTAAAGCCGCCCTCCATGACCTCGAAGGATATGGTGACCTTATCACTGACATTGGCGTGATCGTAGAAGCACATGGTCTCGTGAGCATCCACTGTGATGATGAAACAACGAGCTGTTTTCAAAAGAACCAGGACAACTAGAATAAGCGACAGCATTTTTGATATATTTCGTTACTGGGTTCCTTAATTGAGTACATTTCTATTGAGGTTAGGGACTGGAAAAGTAAATGAGAAGACATTATTCCCCCGGCCAAGCTGAATAATTGAATGCTGTGCTAATTTAACCAACTTCTCTTCATTACAGACCGACCATCCACCCCATTTTGATCCCCTCCCTGTACAAACACCCTCCAAATCAAATTAAGATGATAAAAGCAAATTGCAAATTGTCAGATCCCAGCGACCCGCCCCCAAAGTCGGCCCCTTGGCAATGCATATTTGATGTTATCGATTCCTTGGCCCATCAATTGTCAAAATGTCATGCATTTTTAATGCCATTGGGGCGGGCGGACACACATTTGGATTTTCCGCAAATCATTCTTCTTGCTCTTGCCATTCGCCCATTGAATTTTGAAGCGATTTATGGCCTTTGTGTTCAGTAAATTTTAATGCAAAATTCTGAACATTTTTCAATTGTTCTTTTCCCTCTTTAAAAGCGAACAAAATTTATGTAGTTATAATTATTTTTGGCTGTAATTTCAGTGCTTTGTCCGGGGTCAGAGTGCTGAAGTGAACAAAAATTTATGTATACTAATATTCCCGTACATTGTTTGCATCAGTAAAATCAAAACTTTTGTTAATGTAATTCCGCTAATTGCCATATTCCTTTTTTTTCAATAATATTTCCCTAGTCGCAGTAATAACTGCTATTAAAGCTTAAGGTAATATTTTTGCTATTTTATGATGCTGTATTAAATTGCGTGGAAATGCATACGGCTTTCAATTGTGTTTGGTCATGTGAAACCATACGAAATTATCGCCGCTTCAGCGAGACTATAACAAATTGATTCAATTGCTGTAAAAATGTACTCCCTTCAACAATTTGTTTATCGCCAACGATCCACAGTTTATGTCGCACCTTAAAGCAATTTTACGAGTCGTCAATTCGACAGCCAGGAAACCCCTTCAACTCCACACGGACCCTCAACTATTTGCAAAATGTTCTCACCCCCAGTCCTCCAAAAGTCTCCCCTTCCCTTTCTCGCTGGGTACACCCATCTCACTCTCTATCTCTATAGAAACATTCTACAACTATTTGCTGTGTGCTCTACTTAAACATTTTTTCCCCGTTAGCTTCGCTTGTTCTTCATGGGTTTTTTTCTAGAGTTCGTTTGTAGCCCGCACTTTTAAATATCCTTTATGATATTCAATTTCAAATTCTAATGCTTTAAGCGATTAAGTACACGCTTTACGCCACTTAACTCCATGTCGCCCGCTTTAGACGGTGTCAGCTGCCCTGCTGCCCCTCCAGTCCTCCAATCCCCACTCCTCGATGATTCCCAGCCAGATCCTATCCTGATCCTATCCAGTTTCGTCCCTTCCCTGCGATTCGCGGTATTTGCCGACTTCAGTTACTTTAGGCGCCGGGAACACTTGATGCCTGCCTCGGCCCCTGCCTATCCTGCACTGAGAAAAACACCTTGGGACTCTTCTACGGAGAAGGGTCCTTAAACGAAGATGTTGTTCTTATCTATTACCATTATTATTATAATTATTAGAAGTTGAAATTAATGAATCCAGGTCTGAATAAGTGATTATCATCGGTTTGAACTCAACGTATGACAGAACTATGACTATTAGAATTTATAGATATCAGGTATATTGGTTCCGTATTGAAGGTGTTGAAATTGCCTACTCAATGGGATCACATCTGTGCAAACTAAGGCAAGAAATACTTTCAAGTTAAATACTTTTTATTATTGAAAGACTACTTTATTTGTTTCTGAACAGGTAACTTAACTTAATTCCTCCTGTTCATTATAATCTTGAATTTTATATTATATTGATTTTTTAGCAGTTGGCTTACAATTTTGTATATGAGGGACATCCTTTATAATATGTGCAAGGCAAAATGAATTGGTTTTGTTCATTCCATAGTGAAAGATAACAAATTTTATTTTTTTTTGGATGAGAAATATTTTTCCTAATATTTTTAATAACTATAGATTATTTCCTTCAGTGTCTCTTCACTCCTGGCCCATCTTTTTTCCCATGCCACCCGCCGTGTCGACATGACATCGACGCTCTTAAGTGCCAGTTCGAGTTGGCCCCGCCACTGAATTTCCCTTTCTTTTATTTTTCTGTGCCGTGCTCAAGGACTTTTTGCTGGATTTTTCATGTGCGTGCAGCAGCTTAGGAGCAGATGTGCGCGTAGGTGTGGCTGTGGGTGGAGGTTTTCCCAGTCCCCATCACAAACCCAGCCCCCTCCCCTAAAAGAAAAAGATGGGGGGACAGATTTCGCTACGGTTCTCCCGTTGCCAACGATTGGGCCTGGCTTAAAGCGGCTTAAATTACGTATACGCCCAGGCGGTCAGTCAGCCGACAGCCTGTGGATAATAGCCATGCGATTCCGCCGCCTACCCCTCTTCTTTCCCCAGTTTCGCCGCCTCTGTCCCCTTATTTTGCATTTTCTGAAACTATTTTTTCTACACCTTGACTAGTTTCGGCATCTACTCAATTATTAGTATGCCGCTTGGGGGAAAAGTTCCCATGGACTCACGTGCCTTTGGCTTTGATCATCTTCCCTGGACTCTTCCCAGTTTTCCTGTTTTTTTGTGTCCCACCTCCACTCCTCATCCCTCACTTTTCTTCATCAAATCGCTTTTGTGGCCAGGCCATTCGTGCGTGTTCTAATTTGTTTGCAACTCTACGTGTGTGTCTCTTGTTGATTGCCTCTCATGTCCGCTTTTCCCCGCCCCAAAGTCACATATCCGCCCTCGCACCGGGTCCACTTTTAATGCCCTTTTAAAGGTGCAAATGATTTCATTTCGGTGCCTTGCTTTTTATATCTCTCGGAATTAGCCCCATTTTTTACATCGTTAAACGTGATGGAATTGCCGTCGTTTCGGGCCTGCCTTTCGGTAAATATAGAAATTAACACGGACACTGTCTATTAATATGGTTACTGAAATAATAAAGTAAAATGAATAGTTAACAAAAAAATACTTAGTTAAATTGTTTTGATTTCAAGGCTATTTCATAAAAATAATGACTTCTTTAGTGTATACATTTAATTTATATTTTATTTTAAAACACAGAAATTCATTTGAATAAAATAATTATTTTAGTTGATGGATAATCTAATAAATATAAATAAGCTGCTCAAAAATATCACTGGTTTATAAACTTTTTTCATTTCGAATGTTGTGGCTATTAAATCTATAATTTATTTATATACATTTTTATTGACAAGCAATTCCTTTGAATAAGCCAAATCCATTTATGTGACCCACTTTTCGAGAAATATAATGTTGGCCATGCCTTTTCCTGCCTCATTGTAAACGTCTCAAATCCCTATTTGGCAAACAACTCAAAGAAATCGGGGCAAAAGGAAAACAGTTGAACAAGCAAACCAATCGAACTGATAAAAGGGGCGCATCCTTGCCATAAGCTGCCCAGGAATCGTGCTAATCTCCACTTGAAAAACACTTGACGGGGGCTGGGGGTCGGAAAATGCGAGGGAAGTGGAAAAGCCATGAGAAATGAGCCGAAGGCAGCCTGTGAATGAGCTGTAAAAAGGCTCAAGTATTGACAATGCCTTTGGTCTTCCATGAGATATCTTCCGCCCACTTTCTGATCCCCCGCCCTCTAATGGGCTAATGGGCGTGGCAAAAGTGGGACATGACAACAAATTGGCAAATTTCGTATTTTTTCCAGCTTCTCTCCCGCATACATGTGTGCGTGAGTTCTGTGAGGATTTATTTCAATTGAAAGTGCCGCCATGAGCTGTCAACATGAATCCCTTAGCCAGACTCTAGCAATAAGTCAGCTAACGAGCTTCAATGAGGCATGCCAAGTATTTCCGGTACACACACATTTGCACAAATCACACACTCACATGTGTTTAGGGGGAGAGAGAGGGGGGGATGTTGCAGAGGGAGATGGAGAGATCACATAGCTTGGCATTGAAGTGCTGCTGCATTTCGTGTCCTCAAATTTTTGTCCTCAATGTGTTGGCTTGAAATTTACATTAGAATTTCCTCTGAATTTCTGGCTACAATTTCCAAGACAGAAAGAGACGACAGTCCTAAGAATATTTTGCATAATTTTGCGCATTTTCCAGAGCCGTAATTTCTACAACATTTCGCTGGCAAATTAAATTGCCTGCCAAACGATGCTGTTAATGTCTGCGTTGCTATTTGCATTTGACATTTGTTTGTTAATTTAATGCATGTTTTTATGGGGCGATATGCATGCATATTCCTATCTGGCCCCAGTCGAAAAGTGGAAATCAACTGGCTTGCTAATTGGCATCGGGTTTCTCCGGCTAAGCCCACTCAATTAGTCCAAGTTTCTGGGCCAAAGAAGTTTCTGACGCTTGCGGCTTTTCCAGGAAAACCAAAACGCTTTTCCCAAAGGCTCCAACTACAATCGTTCGAACACACAATAGCATTGAAAGAAATTACGATTCACTGTCAATATGAAAATGTGTCTTATAAAACTTATAGTTGCTGTGTTTAAGGATGAAAGGGTAAAATATATTGTTATTACGAACTAAATGAATGTATTTAAGGGCAAAACAGAAACACCGAAAGTCTTGGAATCATTTATAAAAAGTCCTAAAAGTATGCAACAATATATTATCATGCACTTTTTACTGCATACTTGTAGACACTACTAAAAATAACTTTCTTTTATCAAGTCAAATAAAATGTTTTAACATAAGATTTGATTTTTATTTAACTTACTGAAATATTTTAATAAACTAAGTTTATATCGCTAAAAATTTAAAACTTTACTGCATACTTTTAGACAATTTTAAACATATTTTCCTTTTTGGCAATTTTAGTAAGAGTTCATATAACGCAAAAAAGTTTGATATTTGTTATTTTTATTTTTTGTAGAATCCTAGTGAACTAGCCACATAAAATATTAAAGACCATTAGAATTATATCCTCCAAAATTCCAGTATGAACCAAGAACTTCTTCCAGTGCACCCACATTCTGGCGTCTATCCGTATCCTTGCGAAGCATTTGACATTTGCAA